CGATATGCTAATTATACTGTAGAATTAGGTAGGTAGAATACTCAAAATATTTTTTTTGTATGTACACATTTATGACAGGATTCATAGTGACTAGGTCCTAAAGCCTAAGTAATAAAGATATACACGAATTAGTGACAAGTTACCCCTTGCTTAGCCAATTAGTGACTAACTGCCCCATTTCAAGCTCTTTAGGCCAACTGTGCTCCTACCTTACCATTGAACAATTTTCTATGGGATTCATAATGAGCACCTAAAAACCTTTTAGCAAAGCTTAAAAAATTTGCTAAATTGATTTTGATTTTGAAAAATCAAAGGTTTTTTTGAATTACTCGTTCTGACAAGTTCTTTCGGGCAAGATTTTATAAGTGGTGGTGAGTGCTTTTCTGTGCGATTCATTTCATACCATGTAATCTTCCAGTCAAACCGCATTCCACTGACGTTTGTCGTTATGCTGTTTTTAATGACTCTCTTGATCGTTGTTGATCGCGGCCTATATCTAAGAAAATGGATTCCTGGAAAATTCGCCTATCAACTGCTTATGATCGTCTTCCTGCACGTATGGGTGTTCTTCGTGTTACCATCGCTTACAAGAAGGTGAGCGTGCAATTATCATAGTTTTTTTTCTGAATCAAGATGGCCCTAAGGGAAGTCGCCAATCAGGTTCGACACTTACTTTCACGTACTTTTACCTCTTTCAGAGCGGCAGTGGAGAATTCAGTGGCAAGAATGTTCTACATCGTAAAATGTCTCTATCTTCTCGTATCGGCTTGGCAGATCCGTAATGGTTATCCACAATTATGTATTGGGAATCTACTTACCCATGCATATGGCCTATTCAACATGATCTGCTTCAAAATGTATGCAGATGATTCAGTTTATCGCTTTTCTTCTTTTTTTTTGCGTTTCGGTTGACCTTTCACTGTTAATTTGCTGGTCGATTTAGATTCATGGCTGTACCATTCCTCTTTGAACTGCGAACTGCTATAGACTGGACGTGGACGGACACTTCTATGCCGTTGTTTGACTTCTTCAACATGGAAAATTTCTTTGCTGCAATATACAACTTGAAATGTGCAAGAACCTT